TCCTCCACCGTCACGTCCGTCCTCTTCCTCCACCGTCACGACCGACCTCTTCCTCCACCGTCACGACCGACCTCTTCCTCCACCGTCACGACCGACCTCTTCCTCCACCGTCACGACCGACCTCTTCCTCCATCATCACGACCGACCTCTTCCTCCACTGTCATGTCCTCTTCCTCCTCCGTTACGTCCGTCCTCTCCCTCCACCGTCATGTCCGTCCTCTCCCTCCACCGTCATGTCCGTCCTCTCCCTCCACCGTCACGTCCGTCCTCTCCCTCCCTCCACCGTCACGTCCGTCCTCTCCCTCCCTCCACCGTCACGTCCGTCCTCTCCCTCCCTCCACCGTCACGTCCGTCCTCTCCCTCCCTCCACCGTCACGTCCGTCCTCTCCCTCCCTCCACCGTCACGTCCGTCCTCTTTTTCCCATCGTCCCTCCATCCTTTTCCTCCACCGTCACGTCCGACCTCTTCCTCCACCGTCACGTCCTCTTCCTCCACCGTCCCGTCCGACCTCTTCCTCCACCGTCACGGCCGACCTCTTCCTCCACCGTCACGGCCGACCTCTTCCTCCATCGTCATGTCCTTCCTCTTCCTCCATAGTCACTGTGACGTCTTTTATCTCCAGCAGATGATGATACACACATATATAGTGTGGGAACCCAGATCAACCCCTTCAGGGGCAGAACATTCCCCCACTTCCAGGGCTGGAACATTCTCCTCATTGTTGTGATGTCACCTTCCTCATCAATTTTGACTCATCAGCCCATCCCTTGGGAGAGGACCGACCTCCTTCCTCTGGAGGTTCATTTTGGAGATGTGTCGCCTTTCCCACCAATCACCTTCTCACGTCATCAGTCTATACTAACCAATTATATCACTTTTTAATAGTGGGGGGGAGGGGTTTGTGTGGGGAACAGAGATGTCTTTTTATAGAAGTAATAAGGGAAAAATAAATATTCCGAACGTCTGTGAAGGTTCTCATTGATCCATGTCATGGTATCTCCATGCTGCCCTACTTTAGAACTTGAGAAAAGAAGGACGGGCTGGGACACCATGCAGCACATTCTTGGGGTGAAAAGTGGAATCATCAAGAGTCATGTCCCCCATGGCAGGGTCCAGCTTCCCATGCCTTTTGTTTGGCAATAGCTTGCCTTGTTAGCCCTCCAAATAACCCAAATTACTTAACAAGAATCTCCACAAAGAGTTCATGAAGTTTGAGAGACTTTGAAATCCGAACAGATTTACTCATTCTTAGAGGAGGATTACAAATATCTTTATTAATTAAAAGCACATGTGACCGGAGAGGTGAGGAGGATTCTGGGAATATCATTCATGAAATTCTGGAACATTCTCCAGTAAGGGATGTGTCTGGATGGTGACTGTATCATTGTGTGTGTCAGGTTCCTATAAGGTGTCAGGGTGTCACTGTCTATTTCTCCATGGAGGAGTGGGAGTATTTAGAAGGACACAAGGACCTCTACAAGGACGTCATGATGGACAATCAGCCACCCCTCACATCACCAGGTAAGAGGAGACTTTATTGGAAAGGAGAGAGCAGTACGGAGGCTCCACCTAGATCCCCCATCATCTGATAAACACATAGAAACAATGGATTCAGTCAGTGTGTGTGTTTCCTACAGATGGATCCAGTCATGGGAACCCACCAGAGAGATGTCCCCGTCCTCTGTATTCCTGGGATTCCACACAGGAAGGTCACACCATCCCTCACCATCATCAAGTAGGTGGATCCAGTCATGGGAACCCACCAGAGAGATGTCCCCATCCTCTGTATTCCCGGGATTCCACACAGGAAGATCACACCATCCCTCACCATCATCAGGTAGATGATTGACAATTATTGGTAGTTCTGATTTATACACAAGGATGTCCGTTACATTGAATGTCTCATTGGATGTGTAGAGTGGAATCCTCGGAGATTTTAACATTGTTGTTAAAGAAGAGTATAAAGAGGAGGATGAGGAGTATGGAGTGATGGAGGAGTTTTCAGAAGGACACAAGGATATGATGGAGCCACCTAATACCAGGAACCCACCAGAGAGATGTCCCCGTCCTCTGTATTCCCGGGATTCCACACAGGAAGGTCACACCATCCCTCACCATCATCAGGTAGATGAGGAACAATCACTGATAGTATCATTAGGATCTGTACATTATCTGCATTGTTACAATTGATGTCATTTTATTATATATTCAGAGTGGAAACCTGAGAGATTCTACAGTTGAGGTGAAAGCTGAGATAAAGGAGAAGGATGGGGTGATGCAGGAGTCAGAGTTTCCAGAAGGACACAAAGATCTGTACCAGGACACCATGGTGGAGTCATCCAGCTACAGGAACCCACCAGAGAGATGTCCCTGTCCTCTGTATTCCTGGGATTCCACGCAGAAAGATCAGAACTATAGACAACATGATCAGGTAAGTATTTTGGAGTATCTGGAACATGAAAGTGTCCGATGAAGATGAGGTATGGGTCCTAGAAGATGATACCTTTCTCTCCTTCTCTTGGTTTAGGGTGAAGATCTGACAGATATAAAAGTTGAGGTGAAATCAGAAGAAGAAGAGGCGTATGTGAGGGATGATCAGCGGTCTATGGAGGAGGATGGAATAACGGGGACATTTATAGAGGAGGACACTCCTACAGAGATCAGCACAGGTGGGTCATGGACACTAAATACACTGTTGGTGTTCATGAATTGGTTCAGAATTGGGTGGAGACAGAACCCTATCAGCTCTTAATAGGCTGGTAATGGTCAATTTTCTGAACTGTGGGGTTCTGCTGAAAGGAAAATATTGGGTGGCACTCTCAGAGCCGCATAGATACGATAAATCAGAATCTGCCTTTTATTAGGATGTTTAATATTCTAACATAAAGTAAATGAATATCCTGCTCTTCATACTGCTGCTAACCAATAACAGTTTGGAGGATATTTTTCCTTCCATTTGGCAAAAATCATTGAGATGCTGTGCTACATACCTCTGACCCCTGTGCACCATACATTAAATGTATGTTACATACTCCTGACCTCTATACATGATGTACGTTACATACTCCTGACCTCTGCACTCTATACATGACGTTGTATATTACATACTCCTGATCTCTATACATGATGTTGTATATTGCATACTCCTGACCTCTATACATGATGTTGTATATTGCATACTCCTGACCTCTATACATGATGTTGTATATTACATACTCCTGATCTCTATACATGATGTTGTATATTGCATACTCCTGACCTCTATACATGATGTTGTATATTGCATACTCCTGACCTCTATACATGATGTTGTATATTACATACTCCTGATCTCTATACATGATGTTGTATATTGCATACTCCTGACCTCTATACATGATGTTGTACATTACATACTCCTGACCTCTATACATGATGTTGTATATTGCATACTCCTGACCTCTATACATGATGTTGTATATTGCATACTCCTGACCTCTATACATGTTGTTATATATTGCATACTCCTGACCTCTATACATGTTGTTATATATTACATACCCCTGACCTCTATACTTGATGTACATTACATACTCCTGCATGTATAGACTCTATACATGATGTAAATTACATGCTCCTGACCCCTGCACTCTATATATGATGTATATTACATACTTCTTACCTCTATACGTGATCTTGTACATTACATACTCCCGACCCTTGCACTCTGTACATTGCTGTACGTTTCATACTCCTGATCCTTGCTCTCTATACATGATGTTGTACCTTTCATACTCCCGACCCCTGCACTATATACATGATGTTGTACCTTTCATACTACCGACCCCTGCACTATATACATGATGTACATTACATACTCCTGACCTCTATACATGATGTTGTACATTACACACTCCTGACCTTTGCACTCTATACATGATGTTCATTACATACTCTTGACCTCTATACATGATGTTGTACATTACATACTCCTGACCTCTATACATGATGCTGTACATTACACACTCCTGACCCTTGCACTCCATACATGATGTTGTATGTTACACACTCCTGACCCCTGCACTCTACACATAATGTTTTACATTACATACTCCTGACCTCTATACATTGTGTTTTGTGGTACATGCTCCTGACCATTTCATCCATTCTCGATGCAGTATATACTACTCGGCCTCCTCCTGTCTCCAGCTTTGGGCCTTTAGAAGGTCCTTGTGGCTGTGTAGACCTTTCCAGTAGACTCGCTATTTGAGGTTTTGCTCTACGGAGCACTAAGGAGTCCTGGATCCCACCTGAGCAAGGTTCAGAATGGTTCCCTGTTTAGGGGTGTATTTGTGACATGGTGGTCCATACCCGCTGTAGGTCATCCAGAGAACCTCCTTAGGAGGAAAACCACTTTGTTTGGGGGAACCAATCAGCTCCTGTCTAGTAATCCTCTTTGTCTTTGTATTTTAGTCCATGGCCGGGAGATGAGGAAAACCTCCGAGGATTGTCTCACTTTGTCTCCAGACTGGAAAGTAGAAGATGAGGACATCACACAGTATAGTCCAGGAGAAAACCCGTCTCCCTCCAATGTGCATCCAGCACCACCCACTGTAGATGGACCATCGGATTCCTCGTATCCTGAGGAACCTCAGACTGTGCCAGACCGGGCCGGCCTTCACACAGGGAAGAGCTTCTCCTGTACTGAGTGCGGGAAATGTTTTGTCAAAAAAAATCAGGTTTAGGTAGACACCAAATCTCTCACAGTGCGGAGAAGACTTATTCCTGTCCTGAGTGTGGGAAATGTTATCCACGGAAGTCAGAACTTGTCAGACATCTGAGATCTCACACGGGGGAGAAGCCGTATTTCTGTACTGAGTGCGGGAAATGTTATGCATTGAAATCAGCACTTGTCAGACATCAGAGATCTCACACGGGAGAGAAGCCGTATTCCTGTCCTGAGTGCGGAAAATGTTTTCTGTGGCAATCCCAACTTGTCAGACATCAGTTATATCATACAGGTAAGATGCCATATCCCTGTCCTGAGTGCGGGAAATGTTTTCCATTGAAATCAGCACTTGTCAGGCATCAGACATCTCACACGGGGGAGAAGCCGCATTCCTGCCCTGAGTGCGGAAAATGTTTTTCACGGAAGTCCTATCTTTTGGCACATCAGAGGTTTCACACAGGGGAGCAGCCATATTCCTGTCCTGAGTGCGGGAAACGTTTCCTGAGAAAACCAGACCTCATTTCCCATCAGAGAACTCACACAGGGGAGAAACCCTATTTCTGTTCTGAGTGCGGGCAGTGCTTCCCACTGAAATCAACCCTTGTCAGACATCAGAGATCTCACACGGGGGAGAAGCCGTATTCCTGTCCTGAGTGCGGGAAATGTTTTTCACAGAACTCCCATCTTTCTGTACATCTGAGATGCCACTCAGGCAATAAGCCACATTCCTGCCCCGAGTGCGGGAAATGTTATCCGCGGAAATCAGAACTTGCCACTCATAAAAGAACTCACACGGGGGAGAAGCCGTTCTCCTGCCCGGAGTGCGGGAAATGTTATCCGCTAAAGTCAACGCTTGTCAGGCATCAACGATCCCACACGGGGGAGAAGCCGTATTCCTGCCTCGAGTGTGGGAAATGTTTTGTAGAGAAGTCCTATCTCTCGGTTCATCAACAATGTCACACAGTGGAGAAGCCGTTTTTATGCAATGAGTGTGGGAAATGTTTTGTACGGAAATCAGATCTCGCTAAACATCAGAGATGCCACACGGGGGAGAAGCCGTATTCCTGTCCCAAGTGCGGGAGATGCTTTTCACAACAGTCCAGTCTCATCAAACATCAGAAAACCCACACAACCCATGAGACGTTTTAGTGGCTGAAGTGCGGGAAATGTTTTATAATTGAATTGAGTTTTCCGTACATTCCATACGTTCTAGTCACTGCTGGTTGGGTCCCTCTAGCTGTGTAGTCTGATCTCCCCTGACCTTCAGCAGAAGCTTCCATGGAGGACATCATGGTGAGAGAGAAGGAGGGGGGGGGGTCACTGCTGTTTGGGTCCCTCTAGCAGTGTAGTCTGATCTCCCCTGACCTTCAGCAAGAGCTTCCATGGAGGACATCATGGTGAGAAGGAGGGGGGGGGGTCACTGCTGGTTGGGTTCCTCTAGCAGCGTAGTCTGATCTCCCCTGACCTTCAGCAGAAGCTTCCATGGAGGACATCCATCCTGCCTTGTATCAACGGTTCAGGCTGGTGGTGTCATGGTGTGGGGGAGATTTTCTTGGCACACTTTGGGCCCCTTAGTACCAACTGAGCATCGTTTGAGCCCTGCGGCCCCCCCTGAGTATTGTTGCTGACCATGTCCACCCCTTTATGACTCCAGTGTTTCCATCTTCTGATGACTCCTTCCAGCAGTATAATGCTCCATGTCACAAAGCTCAACCCGGGACTAGCAAAGGTGGACCTAATCAAGTGGCCGGTCAATGTATAGTTCTACTTAAAGTCAACCTAATCGTTGAATACAGAACATAGGCAACGTATTCATACCCTGGGTTATGGGCTTGTACCTTCAGATGGTTGGACGCTGGCAAGCATTTGAGGATACGGCCTCCCTGGGGCAACTCCCTTATACCCCACCCGACTCCATGAGCCCTCAGTTAGGGTCCTAAGGTGGTGGACCTCTAATCCCTTATGGAGAAAAACCACTCTTTTATCATAACTAGGCTATTATTTTATCATTTAATAGGGATCTGCCGCCATCTACTGTTAGCTGCTAATATCACAGTGTTCTGTATAATTACGTATTAACACTTCTGGGAGGAGCTTTGAAAACCTCAGAAAGTGAAAGTGAGGAGAGAGACAGAAAACTGAGCTGTATGGCCTTATACACACACACAGGGGCTGCTGCTACTGCTGCTGTATTTTCACCCAGACCAGAAGCAGAGATTACTAGGCAAGTGTTCCTATGTTCTAATAGTTTACCTGCAGCTGCCCAAAGCTTCTTGGGTGTGTATCTAAATCCTTGTGGCAGATTTACATCTGTCCTGTTTGCTTGGTGTATGTTGCTGTATGTGTGTAGTGGTCACTTTCCCATCTATTAGTAGGTGAATCTAGTTTTGGCTTAGGCCTTGATAACCAGCATAGGCTTGAGCCAGCATAGGCATCTGCTGACCGTTTTCTGGTAGTTTGAGGTCCAGTTGTACGACAGATTAGACGCTACTAGGGACTAAGCACAGAGTAGGTAGGCTCTACTGCCACATCACAGTCTCTGCGTGTGAGAAGCTGCATTCCAGGCTGGTTGGACAACATCTGGAGGATCTCCCCATCACCGCTGATCTTGTCTTTAGGTCTGTGACACCACATCATTCTCCGGGCCCCCTGCAACTGGACTTTTTGCTGCAACATTCACCTGGAAATATCTTTATTAATGCGTATATATACTCGGGTATACATGCAGAATTCTACCAGGGCTCTCTCGCTGGGGCCCTTTGCTGATATTAAATGTCTATTGGATGTATGTACTGTTATTAATCTCTTCTTATATAAAACTCGTACTATTACTGGTGTGCATCTATATACTTCTCAAACCCACTCTTCCACTGAAGATTTTGATTGAGGTTAAGCACAATATCCTGTTTGGGGGGAAGGGGGAGCATTTCTCATAACCCCTGGAGCACCCCTCCAAAAAATAAGCATGAAGTCCGTTCCCCCTCCAAATTCTTTACCAGACCTTTTGGGCCTGGTGTGGTTTGGGAAGGGGAAAATCACTCATAAGACTCAAGGAAAAAAAAATTAATGAAGTCCCCCAAAGAAATAATACCAGACTATTATCTGAGCATGCAACCTGCAAGGCCAGGGAAGGGGTGGGGTGGGGTGTACCCCCCCTATGCTTCTGAACCATACCAAACCATGTGCCTTCAACATCAGAGGGTTGCCCTCAAGTTGATGAGGACAATTGCCTCTTCCCACCAACCCTGGTTTCCATTGACTTCAATGGGGTTCAGATTCAGCACCCAAACTCAAATCCAGTTCGCTGAAGCCGCATCGAACTGAACCAGGTATTAAGCACAATCTCCTGTTTGGGGAGGGCCATTTCTCAGAACCCCCCTCCCAAAAAAAAGCATGAGGTCCCCCCACCCTCCAGATTCTTTACCAGACCTTTTGGGCCTGGTGTGGTTTGGGAAGGGGAAAATCATACATAAGACTCAGAAAAAAAAAATTAATGAAGTCCCCCAAAGAAATAAAACCAGACCATTATCTGAGCATGCAACCTCCAAGGCCAGGAAAGGGGGTGGGGTGTACCCCCCCTATGCTGCTGACCCATACCAAACCACATGCCTTCACCATCAGAGGGTTGCCCCGTGGCAAAGAACCTTGCCCCCACGTTGATGAGGACAATTGACTCTTCCCACCAACCCTGGTTTCCATTGACTTCAATGGGGTTCAGATTCAGCACCCAAACTCAAATCATGTTCACTGAAGCTGCATCGAACTGAACCAGGTATTCAGCTCATCATTTGTTGCAGGTCTTTACAGGCACCACCGGAACAATACACAATCCCTGTGTCTCTGGCATCAGTTAGCTATGTTAGGCTCCCGCCCTCAATACATTGCCTGGAGGATGATATCAGCTGACAGCAGACATATACAATCCATATGTAGCAGGGTGTTAGTCTCCCATTGGTTCCCTCTAGTGAGGTTTCTGGTGAAGTTCTCACGGTCTACCAGTAGATGTCATTATTTGTCCTTCATTCCTTAATTGGAATCATGTTCAAGAGAAGTACTTCCCTTTTGTTCTGTTTTCCAAAGTGGGAGGGTGGGGGTCAGGCTTGGCACCAGTGTGTCCTCTGCCATGGTCTCTGCACGCCATCTTGGGGGAGTCTGTGTCTGATTGGATGCAAAGTTCCCTTTAGATTTGGGTAGACATCTTTGACCATGTGGTGTGAGCCCTGCAGCATGGGAAAAGCATGGAGGGACAGATGCCCCCTTGTGAGGCTGAGCCTAGGCACAGGTCTCTGTACAGAGACAGTATAGGAACATCCTGACACCTCCAGTGTGTACCCAGTTATGGGAAGGAACTTCTCTGCATGTAGTCAGCATACCAGCCTGAGCCTGCGCCCAGTGGGTCGTTGCAGCTTCCATCTCAGAAGGTCAAAGTGGTTGGCCATGACTAAATCTGCTTAAGGTAGCACACCTTGGGCAACCTATTAAATGTAAGCTCTGAAACTGCCTTATGTTGGATGTGGAGAAGGGCCTTATGTTGGATGTGGAGAAGGGCCTTATGATGGATGTGGAGAAGGACCTGATGATGGACGTGGAGAAGGGCCTGAGGTTGGACGTGGAGAAGGGCCTTATGATGGACGTGGAGAAGGGCCTTATGATGGACGTGGAGAAGGGCCTTATGATGGATGTGGAGAAGGGCCTGATGTTGGATGTGGAGAAGGGCCTGATGATGGATGTGGTGAAGGGCCTGATGATGGATGTGGAGAAAGGCCTTATGTTGGATGTGGAGAAGGGCCTGATGATGGATGTGGTGAAGGGCCTGATGATGGATGTGGAGAAGAGCCTGATGATGGATGTGGAGAAAGGAATTATGTTGGATGTGGAGAAGGGCCTTATATTGGATGTGGAGAAGGGAATTATGTTGGATGTGGAGAAGGGCCTTATGATGGATGTGGGGAAGTGCCTTATGATGGATGTGGAGAAAGGCCTGATGTTGGATGTGGAGAAGGGCCTAGTTGTTAAAGTTGCTTCTGGAAGAATGCTTGTTATTTTCCACAGCTGATTCCACAGTAAAGGAAAGCTTTCAGGAAAACCTCAGTCACCAGATCCTGATGATCCCGATGCATATGTCTACCCGGTCACTACAAGTTGACCCCATTGAAGAGAGGACACCACATTGCAGATGATTCCCCACCTGTTCTGCAATTCTACCAAATTAAACTGCATTCAAAGACCCCAACCCAGCAAACTAATGGCTTCCAGATCATCCAATGACAATAGTGTACGGCGGATGGGAAGGACACAGATCTCCAACAGGTTGCCACCTGTCCAAGATTCACCTGGACAGTCTGAGTTTGAGTCCACCTGAAACCCAGACACATTATCCGGACCTATTCTCCTGTAACAGACAACACTTGCCTTCCTCTCTTCCATGCACTGTACTTTTCCTTTCAGCTGCTTAATGCCACATGCTCTCCTCCTCCCTCTCCATCTTCAGCCGCTCACCACCACCAGCTCACCCCCTCTGCACCTTCAGCCACTCACCACCACCAGCTCACCCCTCCCTCTGCACCTCCAGCCACTCACCACCACCAGCTCACCCCTCCCTCTGCACCTCCAGCCGCTCACCGCCACCAGCTCACCCCTCCCTCTGCACCTTCAGTTGCTCACTGCCACCAGCTCACCCCCTCTGCACCTTCAGCCGCTCACCACCACCACCTTACCCCCTCCCTCTGCACCTGCAGCCACTCACCCACCACCAGATCAC